GTCCACAATTTGCAAAGTTTGAAACAAAAACAACATTCTAGGCAATACATTCATTTTTACAGCAGCAATACGGCCCAGCAGTGAAAGCTTCAAATTTGACCAAATTTCTAAATCTTTTTTCACTTCCGCCCAACATTTTTCATAGTTGTCTTTAAATAAATTCCCATTTTTTGCTGTCATGTTAATCCCCAGGTATTTAACTTTCTTAACCACTGTTAAGCCTGTCTCATTCTGAAACCTCTCTCTTTCAATCGGTGTTAAATTTTTCTCTAAAACTTTAGTTTTTGACTTGTTCAGTTTAAATCCTGCCACTTGACCAAATTCTTGAATCAGTTCTAAAACCCTTTTAGTACTAGATTCTGGCTCCTGTAACGTCAATACTAAGTCATCTGCAAATGCTCTCAATTTGTACTGTTTAGTTCCGACCTGTATACCTTTAACCAGCTGGTCCCTTCTAATCATATTCAGCAAAACCTCCAGGACCGAAATAAAAAGAAGTGGGGAAATTGGGCAACCTTGTCGTGTCCCTTTTTCAATTTTAAGTTCTTCCGTCACAACATTATTTACAATTAGTTTAGCCTTTTGTTCTGAATAAATTGCACTTATACCATTCTCAAAACCTTGGCCTACCCCCATACCCTGTAGATTCTTCTTCATAAAATTCCAAGAAATGTTGTCAAAGGCTTTCTCCGCATCTACAAATATCAAAACTGCTTTAGTGTTTATATTCACTTCTAGTTTTTCCAAAATATCAATTATATTCCTCAAATTGTCAGACAAATGTCTTCCTGGGAGAAAGCCCGCTTGGTCTTTGTGAATCTCTTCCATTAACACTTTTTTAAATCTCTTAGCCAAAATATCTGCAAAAATTTTGTAATCCACATTAAGTAATGATATAGGGCGGTAGTTCTTAAGTTGTGTCTTTTCAGTCTCTGTTTTCGGTACAAGTGTAATATATGCTTCTTTCCACGACTCTGGTGCTCTTTTCCCCTCCATTATTTCATTGCAGACCTCTTTCAAAGGTTGAATTAACCATTCTTTCAAAGATCTGTAGTATCTAGAAGTCAAACCATCCACCTTCTTTTCTCCTCTTTTTCCAAGTCTAAAGGCATTCACTATTTTAAAACAGTCTTTTACCAATTCTGGATTCCAAAAGTCAGAAAATTCCTGCGTAAGAAATTCAGCTAAATTATCCTTCTCCACTTCAGGTACCGATCTGACCCTTAAATTCACTTGTTTTTCTTTCAACTCAATCATAGACAGGGTTAACTTATGGTCTTCCAATTGTTTATGTAACGATGGTATTTTCTCTTGAACCTCTTTGACCTCTGTGACAGATGCTGTAGCAATTTCTTTAGCCTCCTCGGCAATCTGACGTGTTGAGACCGATTCCTCTAATAATTTCTGAATAGTCTCTGTATTAGTATTTACTTTCTGGCCCAAATTATTTAAACTTGCTGTATTCTGATTAATACTTGTAGTATTTTGATTGATACTTATTGTATTTTGATCAATCTTGTCTGATGCCTCTGCTACTTGTTTACTTATTTTGTCCAAAGATTCATTAACTTTAGCCAAAACTTGAGCAAAGGTATCATCACTTGCCATACCTTTAATTTTGGGTTGTGCCGATGGGGCAACTATTGGAATCCCAGAGGGGCCAGAGGTCGAAGCTCTTCTTTGCAGTCCACCTTCTGTTCGCAGAACTTTGCCTGACCTTGTTGCCTGTAACGCCTCTAGTTTCTCTTTTCCATCTGCCATACCCCTTTAGATAAAACTCAAGGTCAGTCACGCAGTTAAATTCAAACTTGTTTTGCAGTGGAAAATTCCAAAAGAACCGTGTGGGAAAATCCTCAGGCCAGCTGCAATTGCAATTGTATCTTATTGTAACAAATCCAAGTACCACTAGGGGGACACTGTAACAGTCATAAAGTTCTTAAATACTTTACTTCTTCTTTAAGTCCCCCCAGTTTATCAGGAAGATAACAATCTATCTTAAACAGTTACTTTAAGACCAGGAGATATCTATCCACAATATTGTATCCAAATTGTATTTCCAGTGCAGGACTAGCTGTCAAAATATATTTAAAGACAGTACCTCTTCTCCAATTTTAAATTGTCTCTGGGAATCCGTTCCCAAGGAATTGAGCGATGGTTTTTATCTCCTTTTTTTTTTTCACCTCTTCTTGAAGAAATAGCATTCCAAGTTTCCCCCCCTTTTCCCTCAAGTTAAGGGGGGGAAATCCTGGTTAGATGATTGGATTAAAGTCTGTTTATGCGTCTTTTTCTGAGCTTCCGCTTTCAAGTTCAATGCTTTGTTTTATCTACAACGGAGAGAGGCAGACTTCCTTTTTATACCTCTCCGCTTTCGACCGAATTCCCTTTAAATTTGTACAGTTCCAATTGCATTAAATCCTACTCACGGATTGTTGATTTTCAAGCCGAATTTCCAAAGAAGAAAGGCAGCGCTCTCCGGTCACAGCTCACGGCTTCACTCCATGGAAGAAGCAGACAGCCCACAGCACAGTGCTCCTTCCCCCGCTCCGATTCCGAACCCGTTACCGGGCTCTTTCACGGGTTGGGGGGGGCGCCAAACATGCCCGCTGGGTTCCAAGTTCACAGGCTTCCCCCGCCTGTGATTTCCAGGGTCCTCCGCTGCGCCAAAGCGGGATCCAACCCTATTTTCCGCAGAGCGATTTCCTCCGATCGAGGAAATCCGCCATTAACCGCAGGCGCCACCTCCGGAAGTCTAGGTATCCAACTATCTTTCTCTGCAGACATGCGAATAATCCTACTGTTCAGGACTGGAAAGCTCTGAAGCGCATAGCCCGCTATTTGAAAGGGACTTTGCACTACAGGCTGAGGTTCACCAGTCAGAAGACTGGAGGTCTTGAAATCTTTGCAGATGCAAGTTTTGGAAGTGACACCACGGATGGTACAAGCACTTCTGGAGTGTGCTACATGTACAACCACTGTCTGTTTGACTGGCTGTGCAAGAAGCAGACAACAGTGAGCCTAAGTTCCTGTGAAGCAGAACTCAATGCTCTGTCATTTTCACTCATGGATTGTGAATGGTTGATGCAACTGTTTAAGGACATCAGAGTTTCTGTGAAATGTCCTATACAAGTGTATCAAGACAATAGATCTTGTTTGGCTTTGCTGAACTCAGAGAGTTGCAAGCAAAGGACCAAGTACTTGCAGTTTAAGCTACATCGTGCAAGAGAGTGTATTCAGAAAGGACTCATTCAGGTGTCCTACATGTCAGGAAATGAAATTCCTGCTGATCTGTTGTCTAAGGTTGTTAACAGAGAACAACTTAAGGTTTACGTACAGAGGTTGCAATTGGGTTGAACCACAGGTACTACAGGTTACACGGAAAGGGGGAGGATGTTAGGATATTTCCGTTCCACCTTAAAAGGGAGCAGGTTTTGTGAGTCACAGAGTCTGCGCATTTCCTGTTCACAGGATGTTTTTGTTTCCTATTGCTTTCGTTTTCTCTCTCTGTGTCTGGAGACACTGATGCAGGCAGTCATGTTTTTCTTTGTTCTGATTAACGCTGAATAAAACTTGTAAATAATGCTCTCCTGAGTGCGACTTTGGCTGTGCATTATTTGCTGATAGAGAGTGTGCATCGGCTCTAGATGTTGGGCTATTTCTGGAGCTCATGTCACTAATTGCTGATACTGCGTGACTACGGGAGATCGATGGATCGTCCGGCAGCCGGCTTGGGGGCCATGATGGACTTTATCTCCCTGGCAGTATCCCAACATTTACAAGGCCCCGGTGATAAAGGTGGTTCCGTTAAACTGCAAACCACCTGAAAGAGTCTCCTGCTACTATTTTCTGCAGATGCAATAGAGGCGGTGAAGAAAGTCTTCTTCGCCGTCGCTATCGCCACTTGGTAGGCTCGACGTTGAGCTCTAACCTGTGTCCGGTCCAATTCAGAATGAGTTTTCTGCCACAGGCACTCTAGCCGTCTCAGCGATTGTTTCCTCGCCCTCAGCTCCAAAGAAAACCACGGGGCTGTCCGGCTCCATGCAGTTGGAGAGGGCGCTTCGGAGCCAGACAGTCGATAGCCCTGGTTAACTCCACATTCCAGCGGGCCACCAGGGAATCAGGAGAAAGGCCATCAACATGGGATAAAGCATGCCCTACCACTCTCTGGAAACCATTTGGATCCATTAAGTGGCGGGGGCGGACCATCCGAATTGTGTAAGAGAAACCTTGTAGACAAGCAGCAGCTAGGACAGGAACATCTGCTTCATCCAACCAAGTCTCTGTTACACATGCCAGGTCAAGTCCTCCATCCACGATCAAGTCATGGATGGCAGTGGTCTTATGAATCATTCACCTAGCATTGCACAGCAACACCTTCAGCTCGTGTGGGTTTCCCTTGTTGAGCGCAAATATAACATTGAATCACAATCATACAAAATAACTTAGCAAACTGACATTTATCAAGAGTTAAACAAAGGTTAGTGTACTAAATATTATTTCCAACTCTAGGTAGTTTGCTATTGGAGAAATACCATATACGATTATAAGCAAGAATTATTTTAAAATATGATTTCATTTCTAGATCAGACAGACAAGATTTATTCTACTATATATTTCTTTCTTTATCATATACACACAAAGCTTCTATTTTTAAACAGGAAATATTTTTGTAACTAAGGTCTATTATACAAATCCTTACAGATGTTCATTTTGTTACAGTTCTGTTAAGTTGTATACAAATTATAAAGATGAGTCAATTATTTACTAAATTCGTGAGTTTTGCCATTCCTGCATATTCTGATAGTTTCTCTTTCCATACATCTATTTCAGGACATATGTCAGATTTCCATATGTTAGCCAACACCACTCTGACTGCTGTGGTCATATAACTAAATAGTTCCACTGACGATTTCACAATACAGTAGCTGAAGGAGTCATTCCCAACAGCATAGTTTGGGGGTCCAATGCAAATTTAGGGTTGTTTTTTTACATTTTTTCATTTCGAAATGAACTTTCCTCCAAAACTTTTTGGTCTTTTCACAGGTCCACCATAAATGGAAGAAGATTCCTTAAGGTCTATCACATTTCCAGCAATGTCCATTCATTGCATTATTCATATTCTGTATATTTTTCAAAGTTATATACCACTGAAAGAACATTTTTGTACAATCATACCTCATGTTACGGCCGCTTCAGGTTATGTGTTTTTGGGTTGCGGACCGCGGGAAACCTGGAAGTACTGGAACGGGTTACTTCCAGGTTTCGCCGCTTTCACATGCGCAGAAGCGCCAAATTGCGCCGGCGCCTGTGCAGACATGGCGCTTCAGGATGCGAACGCTGTGGGTTGCAGACATGCCTCAGTCACGGGTTACGTCTGCAACCCGAGGTTTCACTGTACCAATTTTGTTTTAGGGCTTAACTTGCAGTAAATTTTATTCCTTTATTCATAATTGTTCTCATTGTTCCATTGTGAACTGCTCTTAAATTTTTTGCATCCATTTTGTCATATAAGGTTTTGCTTGTTCGGGCTCGGTGGACTCAAATTCTGTCTTTTCACTGATTTAAATGTTTGCCATACAGTCTTTCTTGAATCTGGATATTAGTTGACCGTATGTAAGCAGTTTCATATTTTTTCTCCTCTTTAATACTTTGGCATGTATTTGATCTGTTCTTGAACATGAACCATATCTTGGTACAATATATACTATATTTTCCGCTTTATAGGATGCACGGGACCATAGGACGCACCGGACCATAGGAGGGGGAGAACAGGAGAAAAAAAAGTTCTCCCCATCTCCGCTCAGCGCCCCTTCAGCGAAGCGGGAGGAGAAACAGAGCCCCTTCCATTTCTCCTCCGGCTTCGCTGAAGGGGCACTGCACAGAGAGGAAAAACTGTGCAGCGCCTCTCCAGCGAAGCACCGACCCCTCTCGCTCTCCAGGCTTCAGCGAAAGCAACGCGTAGCCTCAGGAGCGCGGAGGGAGCGCTCCCTCTGCGCTTCAGAGGCTTCGCGTTGCTATCGCTGAAGCCAAGAAGCCTGCATTCGCTCCATAGGACGCACACACATTTCCCCTTAATTTTTGGAGGGTAAACAGTGCGTCCTATAGAGCGAAAAATACGGTAGTCATATATTCTCCTATCGGCTCTAACACTGGTCAACAACAAATTTGTTGTCTGCGTTTTTTCAGTTGATTTAGGACGAATCTGATGCGCTGAATCCAAAAATCACATCAGTTTTCCTCAATCAGGTCAAGTTTTTGAGCTATGGCCACATGTCGTTTTTTTACATTTTTGTGCACATGAATGCTTGCGTGGAGCATTTTAGAAGAAGTTGGTGGGGGTAAAATGCCATGTCGAATAATTGTTTTGATTGGAAATGATTATTTTAATGACAAGAAGTACTCAGGTCCGATAGTTCTGGGTGATTATGTCGAAAAGGGATCAGTTTGAAGTCATAAAACCTCGAAATCTTCCATAAATTGGTGCGGCTGGGATCAACAGAAAGAACCGGAGCAGCCTCAAGTATCCTGATCTTCAATCAGCACCTCGTCCTGTAGCTCATTGTGATGAAATTCCAGTGCCTATCTTCGGAGAACTTCCTGACATTAGCGACGAAGATGCCTCCAGTGTTGAAGGACATGAAGAAGAAGAAGTGGTTCTTGAAGATGATGCTCCACATCCATTTTCCCAAAAGGAGTTGAATGATCTAGTTCGCGACCTCAGCTTGTCAAAGGACTCTGCAGAACTGTTGGCATCCAGATTGAAGGAAAAAACCTCCTCTCTGACAGTGCTCGCATCAGCTTCTTCCGCAACAGGCATCAAGAGTACCTCCGTTTTTTCTCGGAAGAGAAGGACTTGGTGTACTGTGCAGATATTGCACAGCTTCTGCTCAAGCTTGGAGTGCCACAGTATGAACCCAAAGATTGGAGACTGTTCATTGACAGCAGCAAGCGATCACTGAAATGTGTTCTGCTACACAACGGCAACCAGTTTGCCTCTATACCCCTGGCTCACTCGAGTACACTGAAGGAGAACTATGAAGCGGTGAAGTATGTGCTGGAGAAAATTGGTTATGATCAGCATAAGTGGTTTATTTGTGTTGACCTGAAGATGGTGAACTTTTTGTTGGGACAACAGTCTGGCTTCACCAAGTACCCTAGTTTTCTGTGCATGTGGGATAGTAAGGACCGTGCTCAGCATTACACGAAGAAGGACTGGCCTGTGCGGGAGGAATTGGTGTCTTGCAAAGAAAGGAACGTCATCAACGACCCCCTGGTGGACAGAGACAGAATACTCTTCCCACCGCTGCACATCAAGCTTGGCTTAATCAAGCAGTTCACCAAGGCTCTGGACAAGGATGGTGACTGGTTCACTTACTTGTGCCAAGCTTTTCCAGGATTGAGCATGAAGAAGTTGAAAGCTGGCGTCTTTGACGGTCCTCAGATCCGTCAGCACATCAGAGATCCAGAGTTCAGAAACTCAATGAACGAAGTGGAACTGGAAGCGTGGAAGGCATTTGTTCTGGTAGTGAAGAACTTTCTTGGCAACAATAAGGCCAGAAACTACTCAGAACTTGTCAACAACATGCTGACTGCTTTCAGAAACCTGGGCTGCAACATGAGCGTCAAGATGCACTACCTATTTTCACATATGGACCGGTTTCCTGAGAACCTGGGTTCAATGAGTGACGAGCAGGGGGAGAGATTCCATCAGGACATGAAAGAGATGGAGACCAGGTACCAGGGTCGCTGGGACACAGTCATGATGGCTGACTACTGTTGGACTCTGAAGAGAGACCTCCCTGCCGCTGAGCATTCCAGGAGTTCCAAGAAACGGAAGTTCAAGCCCTGAAGTTTGAAAAATGGTGAAGCAACATGCAATTTACGTGTACTTACCTTTATCAATGCCCACCATTCAGTTTACAGTAAACCTGACCTGATGGAGAGAAACAGATGCCATTTCCTGATTCAGCAGTGCAAAAATACCCTAAATCAGTTGTAGAAATCTAGACAACATTCGAAAAGTAAAAAAATTATTACCCAATGTAATGTTCCAGTGGTGACATTAACAGTGTTATGTAAGGGCATTTCTGTGATTTTTGTAGTGCAACTCATGATTTTTGTGGTGCAGGCTGTGCCCCTGGACATGATGTGTGATTTGACGGTGAGTTTGGGTTGTCCCAATGCAAAAAGCATGAGGATGCATGAGGATACGTGCTTCAAAACCATGTTTTTGGGCCACGGTACGGCCAGGAAGCCGTGGATACTGGCTTCTTGTGGTGCAGGCTGTGCCCCTGGACATGATGTGTGATTTGACGGTGATTTAGGGGTGGCCCAGTGCAAAAAGTGTGAGGATCCATGAGGATCCGTGCTTCAAAACTACGTTTTTGGACCATGTTGTGGCCAGGAAGCCATGGATCCTATTTTTTTGTGGTGCAGGCTGTGCCCCTGGCCATAAGGTGTGATTTGACTGTGAGTTTGGGGTGGCCCAATGCAAAAAGCATGAGGATCCATGAGGATCCATGCTTCAAAACCACATTTTTGGGCAATGGAGTGACCAGGAAGCCGGGGATCTGAGTTTTCTGTGGTGAAGGCTGTGCCCCTGGGCATGATGTGTGATTTGACAGTGAGTTTGGGGTGGCCCAATGCAAAAAGCGTCAGGATCCATGAAGATCCGTGCTTCAAAACCATGTTTTTGGGCCACGGTACGGCCAGGAAGCCATGGATCCGTGATTTTTGTGTCACGTGCTGTGCCCATGGCCATGATGTTTGATCTGATGGTGACTTTGGGCTGATCTAGTGCAAAAATCATGAGGATCCATGCTTCGGAACCACGTTTTTGGGCCATGGTGTGGCCAGGCAGGCGTGGATCCGAGTTTTTTGTGGTGTAGGCTGTGCCCCTGGCTATGATATGTAATTTGACGGTGAGTTTGGGTTGGCCCAATGCAAAAAACGTGAGGATCAATGAGGATCCGTGCTTCGAAACCACGTTTTTGGGCCATGAATTTGCCAGGAAGCCGTGGATCTGTGATTTTTGTGGTGGATGCTGTGCCCATGGCCATGATGTTTGATCTGATGGTGACTTTGGGCTGATCTAGTGCAAAAATCATGAGGATCCGTGTTTTTTAACCATGTTTTTGCGCCCCTGTGGCCCCACAAAATAGTGGGTGCATGATTTTTTTGATGCTGTCTACAGAGTAAGACATGGTCTACAGTATCATGGTGGTTTTATTTAATTTGAATGAAAAAATCATATGAATTCACGAGGATCCGTCTAAATCCGCCTTTTACCTTTTTCCTATTTTATTTGGTAAAGCCCAAATTACATTATTGGGAAAATTTCCTGAAAAGCGAGGGGCTGCGAGCACCAGCCCGCCCTTTAGAGCGTTTGGTAATGCGTCCGCGCAGGCGCGTGGTGTGTGTGTCCCATCCTACTTTCGCTTCTCCTCCGATAGCATATTCCCATTGAAAGCCGTAAACATTAGTTCATAGACCCACAGCCATGGCGACCAATTAGCACGCGCGGGAAGAACTCTCTAGCTACCCGATGGGACGAGGAAGTTAAATGCTTACGCCCTTTTCGACACCTACGCAGTAACTCCATTTTCTCCTTTCCTCGATGGGCAGCTTCTGCAGCCAACGCACCCGTCTTCTTTAGGGACGCTTGTACGCTTGCGCGGCTTCTTGCGCACGCTCACACAGGAAGTAGGGGACGGGGCGGGAAAAAGGTCTACACCTCTGGTGGCCGCGGGAAAGGAGAAAGGGAGGGGGAGGGGAGGGGGAGGGAGGAGAAAAAAGGTTTTTTTGCGCCTGCGCAGAGCTTGCTCTTCCCTCACCAAAAGCAGGAGGCAGCTCTCGCTGTGTGGAGTTAGCTTGAGGGCCCCTCAGGTTCTGCCGCCGCCACCCCATTTTCTCACACGCGAAGGAAGAGCCAGGAGGAGTAGGAGCAGCGGGTTGAGCTAAGCCCGGTGTGAGGTGAGGCTCCTCCGCTTGTTCAGCCTCACGTCCGTGTCTGCCTGCCTCTCTCTCGCTTTCCCCGCTTCTCTTTCCCAACATGTCGGCGCCGGCGGCCAAAGTCAGCCAGAAGGAGCTCAACTCCAACCACGACGGGACCGACGAAATCTCAGGTACAAAGGCCGAAAACGGGGGTTTGTGTGGAACGTGGAAATGGTGGGCGGTGCCCTGCGGGCGGGAGTGAAGCGCGAGAGACATTCAGGTTCTTTTGCACCTCCGCAGCCGCCATCTTCTCCAGAAACAGCAGTGGCAGCCACCACAGGAGGCGGGAAGGGGAAGAACGCTTTGGAGCTGCGGGGGGGGGGGGCTCGCTCGTGTGGGCCGGATGTGTAGGACGCGGCGGCTACAGCCAAGCAAGGAAAAGGAGACCATGTTAAAATTCTTTTGTCTTCCACGCGGTGGACACTCGCTCGCTTGTTCTCCCTTCGTTCCTTTACTTTTCTCGCTTCTCTTGCAGCAGCGGCAGCTGCAGTAAGAGGCCTCATTTTTCGTTCCCTTTACATCAGTCTTTTCCCTCCACATCGTCGCGGACTCCTCGGGAACTGTGCTCCCCGGCCCCCTTTTTGCTTGCCCGCCATGATTGGCTTTCCTGCGCGGCATGGCTTCGGGTTACAGCAGCTTTTGCAGTTTGGAGGGTAGTAGCGCGTTTGGGGTTTTTTTTTTGGGGGGGGGAAGCTCCTGTGCTTCCTACATTCATGTTTTTGTATATATATATGCTGGAAGCCGCCCAGAGTGGCTGGGGCAGCCAGATGGGCAGGGTACAAATAAATTACTATTATTATTATGTGGATCGCTAATTCCACCACTACCACGTGCGGCTGTGGCGTGGCTTCCTCGACTAAATCTCTTTGTAACTTTTTGCAGCGCAATCTGTTATTCCGGCTTAATCCTCTCTAACAAAATAATATAAATACACTTAGATTTCCAGTTGCTGCAGCTTAAAAAAAAACGGTGTTTGGTTTTTAAAGTGACTATAGTTTTCCATGTATTGGAGAGAAGCGCTTCCCCCCCTTAGTCGCGCTGCTTGTAGCCCCGCCCCCGCGTTGGATGGCAGAGACCAGCCTACTAGAGAGTTCCCAGCGTCCGGCTCTGCGCACGTGTTTCCTCCGCCTTCATTTTTACCCGCCTTAAAAAATAATTAAAAAAAACCTGGAGGGATGAACTGCAAGGTGATTGTGCTTCGGTTGCCTTCAATTGCACGTGAGTGAGGCACGTTGTACAGTACAGATGAGTAGGTCGTGCAAAATTAAAACTTGGTCCCAAGTAAATTGTATGGAATTGCAGCCTTAGGTAGGCCATAGGTGAAGTGGGCGTGGGGGATCCTCCTAGAAAACTTTTCTGTCTAGGTTTGTGGGATCCTGCCTTCTGGGTTTTTTAATAGCTGCTTCACACTGCCTTTCTGTTATCCGAAAGCATGCTCACCTACTCAACTCTGTGTTTTATTTCATAAAAAATAGTAATCCAGGAAATCAATGTGTTCCCAAGTATGTTATATATAGTTTTTCAGTTAAGTTAAACTGGTCAGTTGTATAGTTGAACAAGCTTTTGGATCTATTTAAAGTGCCCTGAATGGTCTTAAAGCTTACTATACTGTCTTTTAGATGAGCGTGACTGGCAAGTTGAGAAATTTTAGAACAAGCAAAATATGTTTTACTGGAGCAAGAAAGCTAAAATAGTGGCAATATCTTGATCTGGAGGGATTTGGCAACAGGTTTGGGTGGCATGCTTATTTGTGTTAGGATAAAGTCAAAGTTCATAGAGGTTTTTTGAACCACATAATAAGAAGTAAGGCTAAATTACTCTCCAAAATGTATAGACTCTTACTGGATTGGGAAGTGCTAGAGGAGGAGGTTAAATCTGTGACAATTCAGTGGTCTAAAGACTTTGGTTATAATATTTAGATGGCATCTTGGGGAAAGCTTTGGAAAAAGGACATAAAGTTTACGGCTTGCTATACGTTAAAAGAAAACTACATGGCGATGTTCTGCTGATTGTACATTATGCTAAGTAAGCTGGTGACAGTGTATAAAACCAGCTCAAATCTTTGCTGGAGATGTAAAGAATCAGAGGGAACAATGTACCACATGTGGTGGAAATGTAAAAAGATTTTAAAAACTGCTGGGAAACTATAATGAGCTTTAAAAAATGTTCAAATTAACTGTCATCAAAAAGCCCGAAGCCTTTTTTAGGTATTATTGCTGCAGATATACCAAAAGAATTAAGAAAGATGTATGCAACTACTGCAGTGAGAATATTAGTAGCTAGATGGTGGGCTGGAGATAAAACAACTAAATTGGAATGGCAGGTGAAGTTATTTGAATATGTAGAATTGGCAAAGATGACAGGGAAAATCAGGAATCAAACCAAGAGTTTAACAAAGAATGGGATTTATATATTTAAAAGAACATTGTTCTCAGATAAAATCTTTGAAATGTCTTGAATAACTTCTGCAACAAAATATTCTACCAAGAATATGGACAATTAATGGTAAGTTTAAAAATATGCAATTATGCAGTCAACAAAGTAATGATGGACCCATATTGAGGATGACGGAAGTCACAATATACGGAAGAATCATATTTTCTATGTAAAAAATTTTTTGTATGTGAGGTGATTTGTTTTCTTGTTGTTTTGTGGTGGAGGGATTTAATATTTAAAATCAATAAAGATTAAAAAAATTAAAAAGTGGCAATATCATCAATAATGTTGAAAAATATCTTGTGAATAGACAAGAACAGCTCTTTTTACCTGTAGACTTGGGCCCAGATTTTGGATTAAAGTTTTTCAGCACAGTATTATGCTAGTTTATACTCAGGATTTTCTTTTTTTTAAAAAACCCCAAAAACCCTTAACTTCCTGTTTTAAGTGTGCAAAGGATTGCAGCTTAAGGAAGAAAATACTATGTTTCTTTGTTAAAATATATCCTCAGGAAAGGGGAGTTTGAGCAACTGAATACACAGTCAAAAAGCACTGCAGATTGAGAATCATTCAGGTCATCCATCCACAATATGGATACTTGCATTGAATTGTGTTACTAATTGGAATTTGACTTGAGCCACTTTTTTTCCAGACAAAGAGCAACAGGAAGCAATTGAACATATTGATGAAGTACAGAATGAAATAGACAGGTAACCCAGATGGTGTTGTAGCTGTTTTTTTTAGAATACACTTAAAACTACTCTACATATATTATAATAATGTAGATATTCCATAAAACAGCATTGCTTGTAACATCTGAAGTCTGTTTCATGGTTAGACACAGTTTCATCTCTTAATAAAAAGATGAAAAGGAAACTGTTCGGAGCCATAAGAAGCTCTTACCTTTTGGACAGAGATGTTCATAAATTATGTGAGCCAAGGCTCCTTAATCAGAAATGCTGGCTATGGGTGTGCAAGGAGGAAAAAAAACATGCCTCCCCCCCCCCCCCCCATCCCACTACCAGCAGCAACAAATGCAGCCTAGCTACTGAAACTACATAACTTTCAGCCTGTCAGCTTGTTTGCATGCTTTCTTGCTTCTCTTCTGTGGATTTTACATAAGCTATAAAAGTATTTCAAAAGTGCAGGGGATTGAAAAATAAATCAATGGGAAACTAAATTGTTTTATTTTTTATTCCTTTTATGCACACCTAGTGTCAGCAATCAAACAGGCAAATTGGGCCATTGTAATGCTGAATTTTCTGAGTTAGTGAGTAAAGAATTTAGAGCCACAGTTAAAACAGATTTATATGTGGGAAATGCTGTGCAGTATGGTAGCATACTGTACTTTCCTCTGTCAATGCCGGTCTTTGACCTGAGAATGTGTACTACTGTACAGTTAGGACTGACTTCATCACCATTCAGATATTTGGTTCTGATCTGTAAGGATAGATTTGTGTTGTGTGTTTAGTGTTGTGGCTTGTTTGAACCAAAAATGCCACACTTCATTGAACACATCAACTGAAGACCCAGTTCTGTTGGTTTCAGATTAAATCTTCTAATTTAAAAAATCTGTTGAATTCCATGCTGCTTTGATACTTCCCTTAAACCTCAGATTTCCCACTGTGTTTGTATATTGTCTTTGCTATATAGACTGAATGAACAAGCCAGTGAGGAAATTTTGAAAGTAGAACAGAAGTACAACAAACTCCGCCAACCATTCTTTCAGAAGAGGTCAGAATTGATCGCCAAAATCCCAAATTTTTGGGTAACAACATTTGTCAACCACCCACAAGGTATGCTAAAGTCCTATATTTTCTTAAAGCTTAATTTTATAAGCTTATTTGTAATAATTTTGTAAAGTGACTTCCAATATTCAATATCCTATCTCAACAAGACAGCCTATCAAAAAATAGCTTAGATGTACTCTTTCCCAAATGTGAAGTCTGTGATTCAAATTCCTAAATACTAGTTTTCATTTCAATTATTTGGTTGTATTGAGCAGTGTTGTTGAGTTGGCAGCAAGGCTTCTGTCAGTGGAACCTCTGAAGAAGTTGGGAGGAGGAGTTGCTCCTGGAGGCAACCCAATTCACTTAAACTTCAGGCCTCAATAGTCTGTAAACGTAGTTCAGAAATAATTCATTAGAAATTAGGTTGTATTAGTTGATTGGTGCATATGGCCTGTAACAACTTATTATGGACATAGTTTGAAAACCCTGAAGCAAGATATATTTTGGAGAAGAGCACAACTGTAAGTTTAAGAAATAAAATTAAGTAGGGTGGTGGTGCTAAAGAATATGGAAAACAAACTTTGGATGGAAATTTTTGTAATTTTGACAGTATCTGCACTTTTGGGAGAAGAAGATGAGGAAGCTCTCCATTATTTGACCAGAGTTGAGGTGACGGAGTTCGAAGACATCAAATCAGGTTACAGAATAGATTTTGTAAGTAAAGGTGTGCTGCACCTTCCTTACCACCTATGTGGATGGCTGAGAGAACAGCCTGATAACTCCCCGAGGCCTTGCTTTGAAATCCATATGCCTTGTATTGGTAGCTACATTTTATGTTCTCTTGACTGCAGTATTTTGATGAGAATCCATATTTTGAAAACAAGATGCTCTCTAAAGAGTTTCATCTGAACGAGAGTGGGGACCCATCATCAAAATCAAGTGAAATCAAATGGAAATCTGGGAAGGTATGTAGCTGTTTGTGTTTCTTTAAATCAGTGTCTATTTTGAAACAGTGTTTCTTTTCCCTGCGTGATTCGTGATTCTAGCCACTAGTGCAGGCAGTGGCTGTTTTTGGTGTGCCCAATATCTGCACAACTGCACACATGCCAAACACAGAATTGACCCCAAAAAAATCACAAAAGGAGGGGTGCAGTATGGGGCAGCCTTACATGGACCCTGCCAACAAGGAGGGGGGTGGTCTGGAACATAACAGTCACACAAATCGGTTGCTGCCTGTACCATCTTCTCCAGCTAGAATGGTTTCCTCCAGACATGGGTGCAACAAAGCATGATTGTACCTCTGTTGTGGAGTTAAGGTTGTTCTGTGTTTCAGAGCTGAAAACAATGCTAATATACTGTATTTCACATCTGGCAACCCATGCGCCCCTCTGGTTTCAGATAGTACATGAGTAGACAAGTCTAAAAAGCTCTAGGAGGCTTAGTTCAGTCAGAATAGAGTATACACTTCCAGAGTTAATGCTAAATACATTACTTCGGTAAATGACCTACCATAGCTGCTAAAGGACCATGAAATATTTGTGTCCCAGTCTTTTTAGACTCGCCTATCCATATCCTTTCTGAAATCAAAGGGGCACATTGTTTGCCAGGTGTGAATTTTTTTTAGCTCTCCTACCCCACTAAGTGAAATTCATAAGCTACTCCTGAGATTGGTATGAGAACCTTATGAAGCAAATAATACACGTGAAGACCAATCTGTGGGTTGTAGCCAGTGTTAGTCATACTTGGAGTAGTTCCATTGAAATTAATGAGCATTCAGTGGGTCTCCTCTGAGTAGAACTTAGTTGAGTGCAACCCTTTTTATAGTGTGAAGGGAAATGGTTAATCTATAAAAGAGCATGGTATTAGTCTACTGCTGAGAGATGGAAAAGGGACAAGCATATACAAATCTTAAAAGCTAATTGCTTCAATTTATTTATCCATTTATATACATTTTTTATTCTGCTCTTCCAGGTTGCTCAGAGTAGCATATATGGTTCCTCCCTTCTGTCCTCACAACAACTTTGTGAGGCAGGTTAGACTCTGAGAACTGACTGGCCTAATGTCATCCATTCAGTTTCATGGCTGATTGAGGATTTGAGTGTTGTGTTGTAACCAGTGTGCTACACTGGTTCTGAGTAACTCTTATAAAGAGACCCGAGGAGGGTTGGATGTCAAATTTTAGTAACTCAGTTGTTTGAACTTTGCTACTTGTCTGGCCTAGAATTGTCAGAAGATTCATATTAAGAAGGGCAAATCTGGTAGGTTTATTCCTCCCCCCATCAAATATTTTAATGGAGAGAACCAATAATGCTTTGATTGGGTTGTTCACAAGGGGATGTGACCCTGTTGTAAAAGTACAGCTGATGGTCATGGGATATTCTTAATGAGAAGCTATGTTTCCTTCAACACTCTGGAATTCTCTACTGTGTTAATGTGTTGCATCACATCTACACAATTTAAAGTGCCCTTATACCACTTCCCCAAAGAATCTAGGGAACTATAGTTTAAGGGTGCTAAGAGTTGGGACATCCTTAACAAACTACAATTCTTAGCATTCTTCGTATGGAAGCCTTGACTGTTGAAGTGGTATGAGTGCTTTAAGTGTGTGCTGTGGAAGAAGTGACCTTTGTAGAACTACTTCAAAATGGCCAGATTGTTTGTTATGTCTCAGGTGCTTAGTCTTTGTTTTTCCAAATGGCCACTTTTTTCTGAAATTGATGGGGATATCAAAATCAGTTTGATGTTCCTTATCACACAATCCTATTCAGTAAGTGGCTTGGTAGTCTCTGAATAAAGATGACAAATAGCAGTCACGTAAGTTAAAGTGAATGCTTTTTTGATGGAAAAACTAATTTTCAAAAGAAAGTTATGATTTCTCTTGTGTGGGTTTTGTTAAAGGATCTGACAAAGCGTTCAAGTCAGACACAGAACAAGGCCAGCAGAAAGAGGCAGCATGAAGAACCCGAGAGTTTCTTCACTTGGTTCACTGACCATTCTGATGCTGGTGCTGATGAACTAGGAGAGGTCATTAAAGATGACATCTGGCCGAACCCATTACAGTACTACTTGGTAAGGGTCTTCTAATGAGTTTACACCATGCTTGTAGCAGGGTGTTTATGGCTGGTTTAAGACAAATAAGCTAACAGTAGCATATATTGTTGTTCTTTGAATAAGGTTCCTGATATGGATGATGAAGAAGGTGAAGGAGAGGAAGATGACGATGATGAGGAAGAAGGAGGCTTGGAGGACATTGATGAGGAAGGTGACGAAGATGAGGGTGAAGATGATGAAGATGATGACGAGGGAGAAGGAGAGGTTGGAATGATTGATATTTTCCATTTAGCAATGGCTTGTTAATAGAATTGTAGAATTAGAAAGGACCCTGAGGATCATCTAGTCTAACCCCCTGCATTTCAGGAATGTGCAGCTGTCCCATACAGGGATAAAACCTGCATCCTTGGTGATATCAGTACCACTTTCTAACCAACTTACCTTGTAAGTTGCAACTTTGCCAGGTTTGAGTTGAGATTCATTTGGCCCCATGATTTCTTAAGCTTGTGTGACTCATATTCTGAATACATGTATTGAGTTCAATAAGGGCGTGTTCATGGTAACTTTATGAATGGCAAATATTATAAGCACTTGAAGGATTTTTACTAGTTTACCTGCTATTTGTGGCACAAGAATTGACTGGAAACTTCTCCCTACCTGTTGTGTGGAGACAATAGTTCCTTGCTATGGGCTACCTAACAGCTAGCAACTTCAGGTGTGGTTAAGGACGAAGTGGCAGTGGTATGTGTGTGTTCTGCCTGGTGTCAGGCAACTTTGTTATCTCTGCATGCATCTAAACTTTGTGTGCCATAGTTTTGAGCGACTTGGGTTAAGTAGCTGTGTAATTCAGAGGATCTCTTGGTATGGAAGAGCAGTGTTTTAAAAGTATAGGAGGTTTGCTCAGAAGTGTGTCCAGCTGTGTTTTTGTTTATATTTAATTATGAATTAGATTTATATTCCACCCTTCATCATAAGATTACATGGTAAAAACAATCAGTACTTTTTTCTAAAAAAATGTTTAGGGGTACTCTCATTTTCCTACTCATATTGAAATACTGCCGCTCAATGAGGCCAAACCTAGATTCAGAAAATGTTTAGGAGTATGCGTAGCCCCAGAAAAAAAACACTGAAAACAAGTAAATGAATAAAACAAAGTAAGTAAAAACAGAACCGCAAAAAAATTAATTGTGAGAGTCCCTTTAGCAAGCATTGTAAATGAATAGCAACCTTGCCTTGTGATGTCTAGGTAGAGCAGAAAGGAGGATTGTAGAGCCTCTCCTGGAAAAGCAACAACATAGTGATTAATAAGGAGAGAATGGGTGGTATGATGTTTGTATTGATGTGATGATTACTTAGCAATGTGTAAATTTTGTATTTCAACAGGAAGATGAAGGAGAAGATGACTGAACACTGACAGATTCCAACCACCACCCCTCTTTCCAGTCCTAGGAGCAAGTTGCTATTTCCCCCTGCCCCCTCCTTTTCGTTGCCTTGTTCTCCTGAGGTCTCTTCCCCCCCCCCTTCCTCTTCACTATGGTTCACAAATAAATTTTGGAGAAAATATCAAGCGACATACCGTGGAAATGAAACCTCTACCTTCTACCCTTTTTTTTATTATTCCTGTTTCGAAGCAAAAACAAAAGAACTGTTAATGGAATCAACACACCGTGCTTTGTGGGGAAGAAAAGAAGCCTTCTGCTCCCTTCATTCTGCTGGAAACTGAAGAGTGCTAGGCCCCTGTGTAGTAGTGCATAGAATCTAGCTTTTTCCTCCTTTCTCTGTATATTGGGCTCAGAGATTACACTATCTCTCTATGTGAATATGGACAGTTAGCATTTACCAACATGTATCTGTCGTCTACTCTTTTTTTATTCTTTTAGCTTTTTCATTTTTAAAAAACGAGGGAGTTATAGACAAGGCGGCAAGCAGGGTTGGGTTTCAGATGTTAGGGTGGGTTAAATGGGCATTTTGACAAAACAAGGCTCATTTGGCATGCTCGTTTGCGTGTTAAAAAGATGAGTTAAAAAACAAAATCTCCTAATTACAGTTGAGCCCTGCCACTTGATGGAGAATCAACAGAACCTGTAGGATCTTATGTTGAATTTACATTCTCTGTTATACTTTTGTTCTTCGTTTTGTTTTTTGTTTGACTGGGAAAAGGAAGGCTTAAATGTTAAAAAGTGTACAAGTTGCTTTGTTACAATAAAACTTAACATGTACACAAGGAGGCTTATATTCGTCACTGGGGGGGATGCTTCTGACCCCACCCCTTTGGTTTCTCAACATGTAAGTTCAAAATCTTTTGGCCTAATATGTTCCAAGGAAGAAAACTGCAAAAAACCAGTTGTGCATTAAAAATGAAAACAAGCCCCTCAAGCAGACTTGCACTTTCATGGGTTAAGGTTGGAGCAGAGGCGTAGCAAGGTCAGGTGGTACCCAGTGCAGCATTTTGTCACCCCCCCCCCCCCCTTGAAATTATTAAAAGAAGGAAAAATAAGATACAGTTGCAAGTGTTATTTTCTGGTTTGTTTACTTAACATTGTGAGCATAAGCACTTAAAACCTTTTTTTCCTAACTTTGTTCTCTGCAAATTTTGAAATCACATCAAAATCAATTCCATTCGCCATTATGGTGCTGGAGAAGACTCTTGAGAGTCCCATGGACTGCAAGAAGATCAAACCTATCCGTTCTGAAGGAAATCAGCCCTGAGTGCTCACTGGAAGGACAGATCGTGAAGCTGAGGCTCCAATACTTTGGCCACCTCATGAGAAGAGAAGACTCCCTGGAAAGACCCTGATGTTGGGAAAGATGGAGGGCACAAGGAGAAGGGGACGACAGAGGACGAGATGGTTGGATAGTGTTCTCGAAGCTACCAGCATGAGTTTGACCAAACTGCGGGAGGCAGTGGAAGACAGGAGTGCCTGGCGTGCTCTGGTCCATGGGGTCACAAAGAGTCGGACACGACTAAGTAACAACTTTGTTTTCAATTGACAAGATGGCTAAGCCAGAGAGCTGAGCTTGACTCATAGTGGACCTAAGATAACTCTTGATTGAGCATTTTAGCCTTACATCAACATCCTTGTGAGGTATCTTAAACTGAGAGTGAGTGGCCTGCCCAAGGTCACCCAGTAAATTTCTTGGCTGAATGGGGATTTGACTTCTGATCTATTGGGTCCTAGCCCATCACTCTTTAAGCACTACTGGACCATACTTTTGTTTAGCCGTAGTCTCCTAGAGTGAGCTCCAGCCAAGCTACAGTGTAATGGCTGTAAAATGGAACCAAGTGCCCTTGCATGTAGCATGCAGTAGAAAACTCAAGGCAGGGATGATGCAGCCTATTGTGGCTCTTACCTGAAGAGCACACCTGCCTGAAACATGCATTTCCAAAACCCATCCCAGTCTTAGATTTCTCAGTGTGCACTTTGCAAAACCCTGAAACCTAGCTTTCACTCATCCTAACTGCACTCTTGTGTGTTGCCATTGGCTGTCTCTCTAAGAAGCTGGCAGAACCCAAGCCAAGAAAGGAGGGATAAGGAAGGAGGGGCACTGTTTTTTATTACCGTATTTTTCGTCCCATAGGACGCACCTACTTTTTTTTGGGGGGGGGGGGGGGGAAATAAAGGAAAATTTTTTTCCTTTATTTCCCCCCCAAAACCCAAACGGGGAACAGTGGGATGGCGGCGCTGCGCCTCCCCCTTGTCCCCCGAGCTTGTGGGGCTGGCCGATGTCTGCCCGGCGTGAGGGGCGCTCTGCTTCAGGGTGCCCCACGCGCCGGGCGGCAGGCTGCAGACACCTGCGCGAAGCACGGGGCGTCCTCCGGAGGGTGCCCCATGCTCCTCGCTGCCGGTTGCCGCCCGCAAGCCGTGCGCGCTCGGGGGGGAGTTCCCCCGGGCGCGCAAGGCTTGCGGACACCTGCATGAAGCACGGGGCGTCCTCCGGCGGGCGCCCTGTGCTCCGCGCTGCAGGCTACCGCCCGCAAGCCTTGCACTCCCGGGGGAGATCCCCCGGGTGCGCAAGGCTTGCCGACAGCTGTGCGAAGCACGGGGCGTCCTCCGGAGGGCGCCCCATGCTCCGCGCTGCAGGCTGCCGCCCGCAAACCTTGCGTGCCCGGGGGAACTCCCCCCGGGTGCGCAAGGCTTGCAGGTAGCTTCCTGGAGCCTGGAGAGCGAGAGGTGTCCGTGCGCACCGACGCCTCTCGCTCTCCAGGCTTCAGCGAAAGCCTGCATTCGCCCCATAGGACGCACACACATTTCCCCTTCATTTTTGGAGGGGAAAAAGTGCGTCCTATAGGGCGAAAAATACGGTAAGTGTAGGCTGTTGTTTTAGAGAGGCACGTCTTTGCTACTCATTTAAAATGTATTCCCACGTCTCTTGAAAACACATAATTAAAGGGGGAGGAAAGTAATGGACTCTTGTGGGGTTTCTGGCAGAGGCAAGTGTTGGGGGCTATCTGTCCAGATAAGAGTTGCAATTAATTTCCTTTCATAAGCTGGGTTTTTTGTTTTGTTTTTTTAATGCTGCTAATCATGGAGGCCACTTGGTCCTCCAGTGACAATGCTAGATCCAAGAGCACTCTCTGATTACAAACCTGATCCCTTTAGGCCAGGGTAGTGTAACCTGCTCCAGAATAGGTTGAACACTAGGAGGCTGGACAAGACAAACCACCAACAAATTTCATTTTTGTCAGGTTTATTGACTATCACAGGGTAGGCCAAAGCTGGGTGAGCAGGGTGGATTTGATTTAAATCAAATCGATAATAATCACTATTTAAATCACTAGTTAGTAAGAGACTATTTGAATCACTTTTTTACAGAAAGACTCATTCTTGCTGGTATAATCTTAATTTTTACAACCAGATGAAGGTATCATTTTTGGAATAATAAATGCTACCTTCACTCAGGGAAGACTGGGGGCAAAGGGGAGGCCAACCTGCCAAGCACCCAGGGCAGCACTGCGCTGCTCCTCCCAGCGCCATGCATGAGCAAAACAGGACTGCCGCTGGTGCCATTGTCCCGCGTGCTCCGCTTTCAGGGGCAGCAGGGGCTTCTTGGAGGGGGGATCAGGGCCCAAAGGGGATGTGTGGGACAGGCAGCGTCCTCGGCCTTGGCAGGCCGCCCATACAGAAACTTTTCTAAACCAGAATCGTGGCAACTAGCATGCCAGAAATTACTAATGCAAGTTATTTGAAGGAGGCAGCATTGTATCTCTTGTGGTCTTACCTGCAAGTCAGAGCTCAATGAACTATTTTCATCAGTCCATACTAAAGATGCTGGAAGAGATTCCTACTTCTGAACAACCACTTCAATGAACTGTGTCAACTGGAGGTGTCATTTAGTTCTAAACCAGCATCCTTTGTTAAGTTAAAAATAAGTAACCAGGGCTGGATGGCATTCACCCAAGAGTTCCTAAAGAGCCCATATGTGAAACTGCTGATCTTTTAACAAAAATATGCAACTTACCACTAAAATAAATCATCTTAGAAAAGGACTGGAAGGTAGCCAATGCAGCATCAATTTTTAAAAAAGTATCTGGGGGGGGGGGGGAATCCACATAATTACAGACCAGTCAGCCTAACATCTTTCCCAGATAAATTTGTAGAAAACGGGGGGGGGGGGGTCCCCTAAGGATCTGCATTGGGATGGGTGCTATTTAACATTCATAAATGATTTGGAGTCAAGGGAGAACATTAAAGTAACCAGGTTTGCCAATGACACCAATTATTCAGGGTAGTGCAGATACTGGAAAGTTTGAAAAAGGATTTCTCCAAACTGCTGGATTGGCCAACGGAAAGGCAAATAAGACTGAAAAACAGTAAGTGCAAAAGTGATTCACGTAAATTCTGATGGCTGTGCATACCCAGAAGGTAGGTCTTTAAGGGCATAGCAGAAAGCTCACTGAAAGTGGCAAGTAAAGAAAGTATTAGGAATTATTAGGATATGGGTTGAAAATAAACCAAGAATCACAATGCTGTCAGAGAATTGGAAAATATACCCCCAAAAAGACTTAGATGAAGGCGCCCCCAGTGGTACAATGGGTCAGTGTGTCTGGCTGTTAACCAGAATGTTGGTGGTTTGAGCCCACCTAGGGACAGCTGTGGGCAGGATTCCTGCATTGCAGGGGTTGAACTAGATGACCCTTGGGGTCCCTTCCAGCTCTACAATTCTATGAGGCCAGCTGAGGGGAGTGGCATAAATGCCACTGTGCCGTGAGAGAGAACGTGCCACTAGTGGACTTCTACAGGTAGTAGGGAAGGACAAGGCAAGGCAGCCTAAGATTCAGAGGATCCAAAGACGCAACATTATCCTGACACATACACAGATCAGGCCAGGAGCAGACATAGTTAATTTTCCTCGTATTGGTGGCAATTGGGAAAAAGGAGAAACAGAGAGGGAAGTAACTGGGCAGGGCTTTGGATGTTCTGCAGCAGCTGCCACTGAATCAGATACAGAGAGAAAGAGGCAGGCGGGCAGGCAGATACAAAGATGTTGTTGGACTACAACTCCCATCACCCCTAGCTAGCAAGACCAGAGCTCAGGGATGATGGAAGTTGTAGTCCAACATCTGGGGACCCACAGGTTGAGAAAGGCTGGTTTAAACTGAAACAACTAACCTAAACACGCAATTACCATTTAAAAAATCAGAGTAAACAGAAATATTTTCTCTCGCAGTAGTAGGCCTTAGGATCCCCTAGTAAAACTGATGGGCAGCAGATTCAGGGAACACAAACACAAAAGACGACTTCGTGCAATGCATAAATAATGTAAGGAATTCAATGACACACAATGAAGCAATAGCTACAAGATTGGCTTTTTAAATTCACAGATGCATCAATGGCTATTAGTCATGATAGCTTAAAACAGAAGCTGCATATTCAGAGAAAGGTGACCTCTGCCTATGAAATAAAATGGGGGATGATCATCATCAAACACTGCATTTGAGATTCTTAGGTGCATCTAGCTACCCTTTGAGCATATGTTTGAATATGTTGTACAGGTGGCGAACATCAGCCAACACTGGCTTACAAAGCCCCACGCTCCCCCCAGAACCTCTCTGGTGATGGGACAGGCGGAGCACGTCGGGCCGCTGCCACAGCAGGGGCTGCTCGAAGTGCTTGAACCTCCCCCTAGAGCGTAGCTACCTGCGTGTGGAGGTTCTGCAGCACCGTGACGAGATCAACAGGCCAGGCTCCGTCCATCTTGCACCCTGGCTGGGACGTAGGTTGGCCACAGCAAACTATCACGGTCCAGGTTATGGGCAAAGTCCTGGCGGAGGACGTTGGGACCAGGGGCAAGACAGCTGGGTGGGAGCAGGAACGAGAGTTCTGAAGCCAGGAGCCAGGAAGCCAAGGGTCAGAGAGCCGGGAGTCAATAAGCCAAGGGTCTGAGGGTCAGAAAACCAGGAGTCAAGAAGCCAAATGCAGCAAGGTAGGAAGCTTGTTGCTGTGGTAAAGAGCCGAAGGGAAATGCTGACCTTCTATCCCTTCCCAGCACTTGCCACCAGGT